CGTTATAAATAAATAAATAAATAAATAAATAAATAAATAAATAAATAAATAAATAAATCAACACAAAGAGATCCCGTTATAAACCCAAGTCAAGCGAGAGGCGACTAAGGAAGTTCCCCCTATATTGGACCAGTTGTCCAATCTATAACTATTTTAAGAGCAGTTTTGGGTTCATTCCAAATACAGTGACTTCCAGTACAATCAGTTTATTCAGTTTATGAATTTCACACTTAGTGCAGCTGTTTTATCAGAATCTAGGCTAAAACTCATGTCGGATAGAAGAATCATCTCACTGGTGTGGTTCCATTGTTTGCACATGCGACTGGTTGAAAAGTTGCCTCGCTTTCTGATTAAATTCTTTTGCACTTGTCTCTCTTGAAGAACGAAAAACTTATCCGTTCACTCAACATGCAGTGAATGTTTTGCAAGAAACATTATCTTGCGCATTTCCTCTTGCCGGTTATTCCCAAGGCTTGGCTATGATTGGTTCGGTCTACCACTTCTCCTTATAGTACTTAGTAAGTAATGTGTCGGAACATTTGCGTAGGGTAAGTTTCAAGATAGGCAGCTAATTGTAATTTTAAAGCATCGCCGTGTTTAGATCAAAATGAAAATGTCGTGCTACACTATTTATAAACGTATCTTGACACGCTAATGCGCTTGAACTAATAAGTTTTAGTGCGCTCAAACCGAGAATGTAACCATTTTCCGAGGGTCCAACTGGGAGACCGAACGTCTTTGCCATATGTAAATAGCAGCGTGTTTCTGTCTGTCACGAATTTCGATATTACCTGAACAAACACTTGGAGAGATCAGATCAAGTTTCAAATGCGTTGCGCATAGGGTAAGAAGAAGAAAGCATAGGTGAGCCTAGGAGTTCCGTCCACCTGGAGGCGGGGACACGCGCCGGAGTTGGGCGTTGCCATGGGCGAAAATCTCTAGATTGTTATGATAACAGTCCAGACAACGGGAAAAATGAGCATAGGTGAGAGATGGGTCAGCAAATGAAATGAGGGAGACTAATCCGCGCAGACGGAGCATTCTCACAATAAAGGTAGTTTCCACATGAATTCATAAAATGATTCAACGCAGACTTGGAGGCCAGAAAAATAGGAGTGAGCAAGGCCTCACATGTGCTAGCCATGCGTAAGCTGAGAGATGCTCCGCTCATGAAAGGTACTAATCAAACATATATAGTAGCGGCCAAAAGTATTCGATGAAACACCTTTTCAATTGTAATTTTTTTCCTATCTCATAAAATCACATG